ATTATTAAGATATCGCAACACCTGTGGCTTGGAATAGAATCTGAATCCAGTAGAGGGATCAAAATAACTCTGCAAACAAGACAGCAGGGGAAACCCAGACATTTATATATGTTCAAGTAATACCAAATATGACGTATAATAACCTGGAAAGCTTATTTATTAAATAAATAAGTCTAAAAGTAAGAAAAATTATGAAGTAATCTATTCATTGAACAAAACACAAATAATGAAGGCATAAAAATCCATTGACATGATAATTAATCAGGCATATTATCTGTCAGGAATGAATTCTGATACGGTTAATAATAGGTGTCTTATGAACCCAAGGTGGTGAGCCAGAAAGTAAAAAGACACTAAGGTTATTGCACATAAAAAGAGAACTACATCTACTACCTTTTCCCGCTTTCCCAAACTTGCACCACTTTTACGCATTTTCAACTCCACAAACCAACCATCTGGCAACCATTCTGGATGTTCATTTGCTCTTGCCACAGTCTGTAAATAACAGTTAAAAGAAACAGTAAGACAAAGGGGAGAAAGGGAAGGGAAATGAAGTGATGATATGACATTCCAAACTCACATGTACATGATCATTATTAGACAGCCTAATCTGTCCAGAAGTTGGCTGAGGATCATTGCTTCTAGGGTTTCCCATTTTCATATGCTGAATCAAATCATCCTTGGAATAGATCTTTTGGGCAGCATCCAAGGCAGTGTCCAAGTTCGCGTGGTACTGAAAAGTCACAAATACACAATCAGATAGCTAATTTGAACAAGCCAGAGAACTTGCTTCTGAAATTCTTGCAAACTGTGAAGCCTGGTATGGGATTAAAAAAGCAAACTTTCAACATCGATAATCAAAGTTTTGACACAACTGGACAGTCATGCAAATTAACTACAAGGCTGGGTCAGACAGATGAGAAAAATTCATGCAATGCATAGCTAACTAAATGCTTAATTAGACCCAAATTTACAAACTTTCTGCAGCAGAACACCAGCCATGTTTACATAAAACCCCAAAGGAAGCCCTAATTTCCCCACATGCAATTCACAAAAGCAGCAGTCACCAACTAATCCAAGCTCCAAAATTCATAAAATCCCAAATTTAAACATTAAAAAAGAATGCGTTTCCATGAATCAGTATCGACTATATATTTTTTTTTCTAAAGCTTCAAAATTTATGCAAATAGAGGTTAAAGAAAATGGAGGAAGCTAACCGTAATTTCGGGATCAGTCTTTTGCAGTTGGGACTGTAGAGACCAACCGACGGGAAGGAAGTCCGGAGAAGTCATTTTGGGGTCGGGAGGGATTCAGTGATTTTGTCTGTTTTTGTTTTACATCGGAGGGAAGGTAACGGAGCAAGAGCTCCTGTTGTTGGTATGGTGTTCCTCTCAGAATCCAACGGCGGTGGGAATGTCTATGAGGAAAAAAGTCACTTCTTTTCAGACAATAAAATATGTCACGTGGCTTGCTAATCACCCATTAGATTCTCCCTGTTCGCAGTGTTCCCGGGAAAAAAAGGGCAAAAGCCTACCTTTAGCCCCTCACCTTATCAAATTTGAAGATTTTAACCTTTAACCTTATACTATAATATTTTTAATGCCCTTCATCTTACTAAATTTATAAATTTTAATCTTTTATCTTATATTATGACACTTTTAACCCATCAACTATTAAAGTTGAAAAAAATAATCCTCACTTTATAATATTTTATTAGTTCTATTCATTAACTGTTAACTCTATTAGTTAATTGTTAGTTGGCTATTAACTTATAAAAAAAATTTTTAACTAACAAAATTAATAAAATTAATAAAACTAATTTTATAATATTTTGTTAATTTTATTAATTGATTATTAATTGATTGTTAGTTGATAAAAATCTATTTTCAACTAATAGAGTTAACAGTTAATATAAAGTGAAGATTATTTTCTTCGATTTTAATAGGTAATGGGTTAAAATCAATAAATCTAATAAGGTGAGGAGTTAAAAGTATCATAATATAAAGTGATGAATTAAAATCTTCAAATTTAATAAGATGAGAGGTTAAAAATAAATTTTTACGAAAAAAAAGTGTGCTTTGATATAAATATATTATGAAATGGTATACAGTTTTTATATGATTGATTTTTTTATTATTTTTGTTAGATTTTTTATTTTAAAATTATATTATTTTTTAATTAATATAAAATCGAATCAATGAAATGTTATGAGTAGAGAAATTTTTTTAATATTTATTTTTTATTTATAAATATCAAATTTAAAATTTTATTAAATGATTCACTTGAATTAATAATTTATTTATTTATTTACTTATAAAATTATATATATTTATTTATCTAATGGTAATAATAATAAAAAAATATAAGTTTAATAGATTTTTTTTCTTTTTAAAATAGGCAATGGAGTTTTAATACATTAAGTCATTAACATGGAAAAAAGGATTTTTTTAAGAGTGTTGAAATAAGGATGTTTTTAATGTATACTTTTTAAAAATGTAATAAACATATTTTTTATTATAAATTTATGTTAAAAAAATTTTGATTTCAAATTTATTCGCTCGTATGATTAAATTCTTTTACTTGATAATAATGTTAAAGCTAATATTCGATTTTATATTTTTTATATATATTTATTATATCAATGTGTCATTTATCTATGCTTAAGGTATAAATTTAAAAAATAATAATAATAATTTAAAAAATCTTGTGAACCTTTTTCTTAAAGTTGGATTTTTTTTTTTAAATTTTGATTGCACAATTAGAGGTAATCATCCTCATCTCTTATTTTATTTCATCTACATATCATACGATTCGAATTTAAAACTTTTATTTCTAACGGAAGAGGATAATCACTAAGTTATTCACGTCATTAACCTTAAAGTTAGATTAAAACATATTTTTTTTATAATTTATCTCAAATAGTTAAATATGAGATTCTGGCATTCTAAGCGACAGTAATTACGACGAGCCATTTTCATTCGCAGACGAGTGAATTGGAATTCATACACCCATTCCATTAGATAATAAAATGTAACCTTTTTTTTTTCTCTCTCTTCTTTTCATTGCCTATTTTTAGAAGAAAAATATATGCCCATTCTTTTATCTTGTTCTGGTGTATTCGGCCAATTTTGAGTTTTTACGCTGCTTTATTTAATAGTCAATTTTTTTAATTTGAATGTTTTTAAAGTATATGTTAAGAGTATTTTATTAATATTAATAAGTATTAAAAAAATAAAAATTAATTTTTAATTAATTAAATAAAATAATCTATATCTATATCAATATTTTTTTAAATGAATTATAATTTTTGAAAAAGGAGAAATTCGAACTCTAAATATAGAAGTGAAAATACATCTTAAAATAAATAATATAATTATTAGATCACGAAAACTTAAGTGCAATCTATATTAATATTAGTAATAAAATTAATATTAATTTTTGTCCATTTTAATACAACCTAATATTAAATATATATTAATTAATGTCAAGAGGTTGTCCATTCAGTACAAATTCATGGTTGAAATTTCTTAATTTTGACTAATAATTCAGCTCTCTCTGACCTTATCTGGGTTCACTGCTTGCATATCCCAAGTTTTCTGTGCAATAAAAAAGGACAAACCCTTCAAGTTGCTATTGTGTTTTTGCTTTTTTCTTTTTCATTTTTTAATTAATCATGGGAGTTCCATCAATATATCTTTCCAAAGATAGCTTTGACTTCCCAGACGAAAAATAAATTTTCATGTTCAGATCGGCAGCGGCAGGTAGCAACTAAAATAGTATTTTAAGTACTTTGAAATGTAAATTCAGAAACATTAAAAAAAAAAAAGAATAAATGGGTCCATTTAGTCTTTTAGTCGGTGACTATGACCAATTAAATACACTATTTTTTTTGGTACAAATTAAATACACTATTTGTTGTACTGAAATTCATCCCCATTTCAATGCATTATTGATTACTCCATTTGACTCAAATGCAATCCACAGTTCCTGCAAAGACTGTGATAATAAAACCCATCATTTGCATTCTATTCAATCTGTAACTATATATGTTCGAATCTCTGTTAAGACAAGGAAACAGACAACAAAAAGAACTGCAATATATATCAATAAGCTGCCTAGAATCTGTGTAACTAAGTACATATGTAAAGATCTGCATATATTAAGGAATATGATTCAGTTGTGAAGGGGGTTTGGTCCCCCTGGAACACCTCTATGGGAGACTCCATAGACTGACTGATTCTTATCTGTGCCTGCTGAACCTTGAGGAGCTTCTGCAGGGAATTCTGTTCTGAATGTTTGCTCTGCTTCATTGCTTAAGCTTCTGTGGATGTAGCGGCTGCTTGAGAACTGGATGCTGGAGAGCATGATCAAGAAGAAGAATAGAAAAGAAAAGGTGGGAATCAGAATTCTCATGATTTCAATGTTTGATGAAGAAGAGGAGGAGAAGGAATTGGAGAAGTTGAAATATGAAGGCAGGCGTGGAGTGGAGCCTATTAAATATGGGATCAAGTAACCTGTGGTTAAGAAAGATCCAAGAATAAATTAATTCTGTTGGAAATGGCAGAAACACCCTTTATGATGCCCGGCTAAAACTGCCATCACTGCAATATAGTTATGGATTTTTCTACCCTGGCACTAAAGGGTATAATTAATTTATTTTTTAGACATTAAGTCATAAAAAAAATAAAAAAATTTTGATATTAATTTTAACATTAATATCATGTGTGTTAATTGAATTGATAAATTGTTAAAATTAAAATCAAATTTTATTTTTTAGAGAAACTTAATGACTAAAATATATATTAATTATATTTTTAACTTAAACCATACCTAAAATTCTAACTAAAAGTTTCCCATGCAATTTTAAATGCCTCTAGTATTATATATTCAGTAGGATCATTGTATCAACATACACGGATGTAAGTATTACATTAATTTCCAACCACTCTTTTTAAAATTTTAATAATTAATGCAACACTTAAAATTTTAAAATAACCTTTTAAATTTTAAAATGTGGCTAAAACTTAATGTAGGAGATTCTTAAACTTACACAATTACATTAGTGTAAGCTAATCCCTACTCTTTTTTTAATATAAACTTGATGCAAGAAGGGTTTTTCTTTTGAGATTTTTTTGCAAGGGAACAGAAGTGGAGATCGCAGGCTAATTTGGTTCTTTTCTTTCATGATTGATGGAGTGTTAACTTAAAATACCCTTTTTTGGGAGTTCAGTTTGGACCATTTTGAACAATCTTGTGCCCCACAAAGATCCTAATATTTTCTCTCTTTCCTTAAGCTACATTCAGTAACGCATGGAGAAGACTTTCCTTTCATTTTCAGATGGGATTTTTCAATTTCAAGTAATTGCATCAAATGACTTGGTGGAGGGTGCAGAAAGACTGTTTATCTTGTCCAGGAAAAGTTTTTTGTGTGCAGAAACATTCAATTTGTGGGTACAATTTTCATATATTGTTTCAATGATAGGTGGCAGATTGATCAATAAGAGAAAACGAGTGATGAAAATAGAAAAGAAACAAAAGGTTTTGGTTCTGATGAGTAGGTACTGGATCAAAGATCTTTTTGGTAAGAGGTAAGGGATCAGATCAGAGGACTTTTTATGAGGAGTATTGTTATTCTCCTGTGACTAAAAACTTTAGTTTGGGGGAAGGACAACTTGCTATCAAAAAGTCTTAACACCACATCAGCTGAATGATTTAAAAAGAAACAAATTTTCCTATATCTTGAGATAAGGAAATTAGACAAAATTAGGTGATACTTTGCTTCTTGTGCTGGACTGTTTGATATAAAATAATGCAAGTAAAACAGTTTCATTATTATTATTATTATTAAAAAATTATTTAGTTCAGATTATACTAAACTGAATAATTTAAATCATTGAATGGGGTGAGCCCTTAATATTGAATATTATTTCTTTTATTTAATAATTTTTATTTTATAATTTGATACAATTTAAATTTTAAAATATGAATATCTTATTATTAGTTCTTTATCCATGCCTTTGCTTGCTTTCATTTTTTTTTTTTCTATTTATGATAGAAAGTTAAGGATTAGGTGAGGTTTACCTAATCTAAGGCTAAATAAATGGTCTAAAGTCCAGACTATATCTAAATATCATAAAAGGTATCTAGAGATTCTTTGAACACTTACCATCGTTTGAGTGTTTGCTGCTTGTGGAAGAGGCATTTCATCAGTAAGAAAGATGATTGTGGAAAGAAATGATAGACTGGCATCAGCTTTGGACAAATGATTGTTCTGAATAAGGAAAACAGCTATAGACAAATGAACATCTGTGCCTAAGAACCAAAATAAGAAAAAAAAAAAAAAGGAGAAAAGCTTCTTCTTACAATCAATCACTAGTGCAAAGACCAAACTAGATTAAGAAATACGGGTATTATCTAGATTCCTGCATCAAATTAAAGTATGAGCCTACTTTATTTCCCTAAATGGTCATATCACTATGGTTTTAGATTTCAATGCACCCGACACACAGTCTAAAAGTAGGTATGTTTTCCTTTTCAAAACCAGTTGAGATATTTGGCTAACCTGATTGATCAAACATGATCTTAATCTTGGTTTTCACATTAGAAAGAATCCTGCTTTTATGAATTACCAATGAATAGGCAATCAATAACCTTACCTACCTAGGAATAGTTGTAGAGAAAAGCCAGGCCTACCTTTGACAGGGCACATAATCAACAATTTTCTCAACATCTTTCTGGAATCTCAAGTCTCGTAAGCGGTCAACTTCATCAAGTATAAGTATTTTCAATCCCATAAAACGCACAGATAGGCTAGACCTGTTCTCAATGTGATCCAGCAATCTCCCAGGTGTTGCAACCATTATCTGCAAAAGGTTTTAATAAGAAAAAATGCTTTCTCCCCAAGCATTAAAGCATCATTACATAAGCGTAGAACATTATGCTATGAAGCAAAGGGAATTAACATGCACGATACTCAGAGAGACAAACCTAGCATAGATCTGATTCCGGGCATTTCTGCTCAACTTTGAAACATGGTACTTCAGCAAGGCATTTGCTTCAGTTCTCTGTTTCAACTGCAGGAAGCTGCCTGTCTTTTAA